AAATTATGTACTCAAGTCAGCATCACAGTTTTATCAGTAGTAAATTCAATAAAGCGGCACTCAACGCGTGTTATTTCAAGTGCATGTGGTCATAAGGAAAGTTGAATTACGGAGAGTACTTTCTTTTACTAAAAAATATACAAACAATAATGTAATTCAGTATATAAAATACATACTTATATACATCTATAAAAACTTTTAAAATAAATATTAATAAACATAAAGTAATAAGTAGTAAAGTATAAACCAGAAGACTTAATTATGGTTGATTTAATCTTCATACTGATTGCATGTAGCCTACTATTTGATAGAGTAAATAATAAAACATTAAATTCCTTCTGGAACAAATACAACCCCGAGGGGAAATTACCATGTCAGAGCAGCTTGGAAGTAGATTATTTAATTATACATTTTGCTGAAACAAGAGTAGAAACATACCTGATGATGAAAAACAATAGGTACTTAGTAGAACTAGAAAATACCAAGATTAAACAAAACAAGAGAAAATACGCTAATGATGACAGCGATAACATATCAACAAGAGCTCACCTGCGTACAGGTATGAGGCTATTCTTTCCGAGCATGAGCATTAGGAATAACACGACTAATGTTAAATGTTTACTTTATTTAAATTTAGGAATATTATTTTATATCGTTTTTTGTAAGCTTTAAGACATTAGTGTACCTATTTTACGAAACACGCGTTGGTTGTTCTTAAATACTTCCAAGTCGTTTTCGTTCAATGATCCAGATGTTCATTCGATATTAGCTTTCGTCCCTTTCAAAATTACGTGTTAGTGTTGTGAAGGCACCATCATTTTGATATTCTGTAGTGAGAAAAAGGGCACCCTTATGGCAAAAGTAATAAATTTAATTCAAAATAATATTTTTTATGTACGCACATAAATGTATTTCTAATTGTAAGCTGAGAAAAATATTTTCGGAAAATTAAAGATTTAACATTTTTTTATATAAAATTCAAATACTAATATTAGTTCAAGTAAACCATTGTTGTCACACAATGCAAAAGTTATTTAAAATTAAAAATATGATAGCCAAGGGTATCAAATTTTTCAACTTATAAGTTTTAACAAATATGTATCTGAGCTGTATAAATTTCTCTTGGATGTCGATGCTTTGTCTCTAAAATACTTTTAATTAAAACAGGATAATATGGCATTTTCACAACATAAAAGTATACTAGTCGACCTCTCGTATATCTTATTTTACAATGAATGCCAATGGCTATCTTAATCATATAATCGTAGATTTTAAGTAACATTTAATGGTTTATTTATTTTTGCACTTTTTGTTTCTATCTATATAATTATATAGGTATTATATTATATATTATTATAATCTACAGCAATGGATCATATTACAAAATAACACACCATATTCCTGACAATATACGTTACTACAATTTGAGTAACATAAGAATGTTAAAGATAAATGTGCAATTTTAGGTATGAAAATATTAAATAATAAATATTAACGAATTGATCAATATATTAGTGGTGTTAAGGCGCAAAATTATAAAACTTAAGTGAAATGCACTTTAGAAACAGCTGTTTTCTAAGATTAAAATAAATGAACACAAAGATTACATTAAAAAAACGAGAATTTGAGAAATCAAAAATTTGCGATCACGTTTGGGAAAACGGTCCTATAATTCATTGGGATAAACTATCAAAAGTAACTAATACGCAAGTCAGAGTAACTTAGAAGACGAAACCAAATAGATTTTCGAAACGTTAACAACTTTTTAAAGTGCTCGATATAAAGTGATGTGTTTTTTATGTTTTGTATTTGTCTGCTTATTTCAAGATTTTATGTTAAGCAAAACTGTTCCCTTCAGCGCAAGGGTTTATTTCACTAATTTTTAAAATTTTTTCACAGGTGGCAAAATACTCAAGAAATAAAAAATATACTCGAATGAAAACTATGCCATAAATAAATAACTTAAAGCACTATATCAAATTGCATGTTACACGATAAATTTTTGGAAGGATTAAATATTTATGAGTGTTTACTTGATTTTAGAGATACCATTGTTTATTTTTTTTAAATAGTACAACTCTCCTATTGCATCCATATGAAGTCTGTGTGTTAATTATTATGAAATTATCTGAAATATGCCTTATATTCAAATTTTCTGGTCTCGTGGTGAGATTTTCATGAAGATTCCACATAACAAACTTGGATAACTATACAATTTCATAATGTATAGAGAAATAAAAGGCTTAAAATGGGCGTATTTTTATAACAGTATAATTAATAGATTGATAGAAAAATCAGTGTTTTTAGTCTAAGCACCTATTTAAAAACTTTTTCTATTGTCGTTTTCAAGCATGTATTAATAAATTGTACTTATTTCATAGGTACCGGAAACAGATCGGAAATAGTAGGTATTAATTAAGCATTATCAACGGTAAGGGTAATTTACTCTTAACGTTCGTGATGCTTACACTATTTTTTGCACGATCGCAATAAATGAAAACGAAATTATATATACGTATTTAATTTTTTTATGTAACGTCTAAAATGACGTTTCTGAATAAATTTGCGAAGCAGGTTTTTTTAAATCTACTGATGTTTATTGTTGTCACGGCTTTCTTAATTGACGAAATTGACAGTTCTAGAACCGGTAGCTATGGTGTTATTTATTAATAATTGATAGTTCTCAAATTTTACGACGCGTTGTTGCATTTACGAGAATTTAAGAAAGCAAAGTGTTGGTAAAATGAGCGTTTCGTCTTTAGATGCAGAGTTAGAAGAAGCGTGGAGTGTTGGATGTTCCACATTAATTCCTGAGAAATCAAGGGAGCGCTATGAAAATACATACAAGATTTTCAAGAAATGGTGTGAGACAAAAAACCAACATATTACCGAGTAAGTTATGGTGGCGTACTTTGTCCAAAGGAACGAAAAATTAAAAGCTCCAGGAAGCTTATGGGCAGAGTATTCAATGTTAAAAAGGACAATTTTTGTTCATTACTCGATTGACATTTCCAAATTTTCGACATTAACTGGCTACCTCAAACGGAAAAATGTGCCAGTGTGTTTACTAAGAAAGACATGTCGCAATTCCTAATTGAGGCACCAGATGACAGATATTTAATTCATAAGGTAAATTTGGATGATTTTACATGAATAGATGCTAAGTATGGTTTTGCATTTTAGGTAGCATTGATATTAGGAATATCGGGAGCATGTAGAAAGGAAGAGTTATACAATATGACCATTCAGGATATTGACGACCAAGGAACATATATAGTTGTAAAAATTCCGCAAACAAATACAAATATTCTACGAATATTTACTGTTACAAACAGACATGATGAAAATATCCATTATTTAGAAATTTACCGCAAGTATATCAACTTGCGGCCAACAAACACAAAATCTTGGCATGTATTTTTGAATTATCGCAATGGAAGGTGCTACAACCAGGTAGTGGGAAAAGGAACAATTGGACAGTGGNTTGCGACTTTATTTGGAAAAAACCGAACCGTATGCTTAGGGTAAAACGGGTAGTTTTATCACGAAGCAATTGACATTTTTGGCGACCGTGACAGGACAGGGAGTTTTAAGTGAAAACAAGTCGTTTTTGTGGATGTACTGGGTGTAGTAGAAGCATATAGACGATCACTGGACAAACTTTTATCGTTTTTAAACGTTTTGGTAATAGTGTGGTTTGACAAAGTTTGCAGTGAAAAATGGAGCAAAAGAAGAAACATGGGAAAGTGCTTCGCGCTACTTTTACTAAATCGGCCAAAGAATTATTATCGACGCCGGAAGGTGACCTACGACTCATCAAGGTATCAATAGATATTCTACGACAAAAATTCGAAGATTTAAAACAAGTTGACAACGAAATCTACAATCTTCTATTAGATGATGATGCCAACGAAGGAGATTTGTTAGTGGAGATGGAGGTCAGTGATAATTATATCAAGAAGTTTGCGGATCTGAATAGTCGCTGCGAAGAACGTATGCAGCCCAAATGGACAGATGCCGTGGAGAATGAGGCAACTTCTGTGATATCTGATGGAACTGTTAATAGCAGAACAGGTAGACGTAAATTTAAGTTGCCCACCTTAGAATTTAAGAAATTTGATGGGAATATTAAAGATTGGTTGCCATTCTGGTCTCAAAAAGTGCATGATGATCCGGATATAGACTTGAACGATAAAGTTGAGTATTTGATTCAAGCTATGATGCCGGGTAGTAGAGCTAGGCAGCTCGTCGGCAGTTTTCCCGCTACAGGAAGTAACTATAGTAAAATGATTGACTGTCTTCTCTCTCGGTTCGGTCGTGAGGACTTGCAGATCGAAGTTTATGTTCGAGAGTTGCTCAAATTAGTTATAAATACCACTTCGTCTGGCAATAAAATAGACTTGTCTTTCTTGTATGACAAATTAGAGTCGCAGTTACAGGCATTAGAGACACTCGGCATTACATCCGATAAATATGAAGCCATGCTATTTCCTTTGGTCGAATCATGTCTCCCGTCAGATTTACTAAGAGTTTGACAACGTTTACCGGACAGCCACCTTTCGACAGGCGCCGCTTTAGAACAAACCGCAGGTGTTTCTACAATAGAAAATCGTCTCAGAAGCCTCATGAAGTTTTTAAAGAATGAAGTCGACAATGAACAGCATGTTAATTTAGCAGTGGAGGGTTTCGATTTAAGCAATAGGAGAAATAAGGATTTTAGACGTGGAGAAAATAGATCAAAAAGACACGAAGAAGATTCTCCAAAACTTTATACTGCAACGGGCTTAATCCATTCCTCAGTAACAAATAAATGTATTTTTTGTCAGAATTTGCATGAGAGTTCAAGTTGTTTTAAAGCTCAGAAACTAAGCTATGATCAGAGAAAAGATATTCTGACTGAAAAAGGGGCTTGTTTTCGTTGCCTAAAAATTGGACATCAGGCTCATTGCTGTCGAGGGCGATTAAGATGTATAATTTGTGGCAAATCACACGTAGCTCTGATGTGTCTGGAGCTCTCAGCGAAACGACAGAATGAAGGAAAATCCGATCAAAAGGACATTAAGGAAGAAGTTGTGACGGGAACCCATCAGGCACTTGCGAATAGTACGAATCAACACATTTTTCTGCAAACGCTCCGCGTAAAAATGGAAAACTCTCAGATAAAACGATACGTGCGCGCGTTGATAGATACGGGATCTCAAAAATCGTATATTTTAAAGTCCACAGCTGAATTTTTGAAGTACAGGTCCAAAAGACAGATTAACATTATTCATGGGTTGTTTGGCGGAAGTGAGTTATCTCAGAAGCACGACTGTTATGACGTCACAGTAAGCAACAACAGCTATAGTTGTACTTTTGAAGCTTTGGATCAACCCGTAATTTGCAACGAAGTTTCTGCTGTATTTCATGGTGTCTGGACGGAAGAACTTCGCTTGTTAAATATCCAGATATCGGATTCATATGACGATGCCCCTATAGAACTTTTAATAGGTTCCGATATTGCAGGAAAGCTGTACACAGGAAAACGATATGTTCTGAAATGCGGGCTGGTAGCCATCGAAACACTACTAGGCTGGACCATGATGGGCAAGATACCCCTGGAAAAACCTCAAAGCTTGTCTATGATTTCTGTTTCCCTTTTCGTTAACAATGCCTCGATTACTAATCTCTGGGAACTTGATGTTTTAGGTATAAACGATCCTGCTGAAAGAATGACTCGTGAGGAAACAGCGTTGGCAGCTAAAGAATTTTTCCTGGAAACCATCACAATCGACGTAGAAGGTCGGTATGAAGTTAGACTGCCGTGGTTAGAAGGACATCCGGCATTACCAAGCAACTATCAGATGGCTAAGAAGAGATTGGAGAATACTGTTAAGAAAGTTATTAATGACGGATATTTCGAAGCGTATGACCAGGTGTTTAAAGATTGGCTGAACGAAAATATTATCGAAGAAGTTTTCGAGATACAACCTACAAAGGTGGCTCACTACTTACCACATAGGCCGGTAATAAAACCCAGCAGCGCGACCACAAAAATAAGGCCTGTTTTTGACGCTTCAGCCAGAGAAAGAGACAGCCCCTCTTTGAATCAGTGCCTCGAGAAGGGTCTGAATTTGATTGAATTGATTCCTGATATCTTGCTAAGATTCAGGCGACAGAGAATTGGTGTAGTCTCAGACATTAGAAAAGCCTTTTTACAGATTAGCATACATGAGGCTGATAGAGACTTCCTTCGTTTTTTATGGTCTGACAGTGAGGGTAAACAAATAGTGTATCGCCATCGTCGTGTGGTGTTCGGAATCAACAGTAGTCCGTTTCTCTTAGGGGCCACAATAGAGTACCATTTGTCCAAGATGTTGAAGGAATCTGATTCCAAACCTTTTTCAAAGGATACCATCATGAAATTGTCAGATGGTTTTTACGTTGATAACTGCGTAACCAGTGTTGCAAATGACAAAGAGTTGAGAACATTTGTCGAAGAGGCTAGTATCGTAATGGCTGAAGGCAAGTTTGATTTAAGAGGGTGGGAGCACACTCATCAAGTCCAAGATGGCAATCTTGATATTTCCACTTCCGTGTTGGGAATGAAATGGAACAAAGAGAACGATACGTTAAGCCTAAACCAAGACGATAACACCACAGAGCAATTCGAAAATAAACTCGTGACTAAGAGGATGATGCTATCACAAGCTCAGAGAGTATTCGATCCTATTGGTTATACTTGTCCTACAACGCTAATACCAAAATTGTTGCTTCAAAAGACATGGGAAAAACAGCTTACTTGGGATACACCGGTCGACCCTATAATTGAAACACATTTTCGAAGGTGGATGGAGGAGTTGCCGTATTTATCAACTATTAGAATCCCTAGATGGATACATGCGGGCTCCGAAGAAGCAGACCAATGGGCCTTGCATACATTTTGTGACGCGAGCAAGGAAGCTTTCGCTGCAGTTGTTTTCTTAAAGGGAGTGCAGAATGGCGAGGTATTTGTACATATTTTGGCAGCCAAGGCGAGAGTAGCGCCTTTAAAAACATGGTCAATACCTCGACTCGAGTTGATGGCAGCTATCATAGCAGTTCGACTATACACAATGTGCAGAAAGAATCTAAATAGTGAACTAGAAAGTTTTTTCTGGAGTGACTCGACAACAGTACTCAGTTGGATTAGAAGACCAGAAGAATGGTCAACATTTGTTTGGAATCGGGTGAAGGAAATTCGGACAGCATCTTCGGACAAAAATTGGCATCATGTTCCTGGTACGCTGAATCCAGCTGACTTCCCATCTCGAGGTTGTTCTGCGAAACAATTGCTCGAATCGAGATAGTGGGAGGGCCCGTCATGGTTATATCGAGACTCGTCGTGTTGGCCTCGGGATAATCTCCATTATGATGAAGAGGAGATTAATAAAGAAAAGAAGAAAAAATTGGTTACTGTACTACTCAACAGTGAGAGTAAAATAATGACGTTAGAAGACTGGCATCTATACTATTTTTCACAATACCTCAAAACTCTAAGAATGTGCGCGTGGATACTTCGATTTATACACAATGCTAGAAATAAGTATGACAAGCATAAAGGAGACCTGAGTGCTGAAGAATGTGATAAATCAGAATTATTAGTGCTCAAACTAATACAACAAGAATCGTTTGCGAACGAAAATGATAAGAAATTACGTGGCCTGAATGGCTTTAAAGACAAGAACGGTTTAATTCGGTTGAAAACTCGTATTAGTAATCGAGAGGATCACGAAAATTTTCGATATCCAATCGTTTTGCCTGCCAAACACTCAGTGGTAAATCGGTTGATATTTGGGGAACATGTTAATTTATGCCATGTTGGTGCCCAAGGACTGATGAGTATTTTACGAGAAAGACATTGGATTTTAGGCGGTCGACGGGCAATAAAATCAGCGATTTCTGGTTGTGTCGTCTGTAAAAGACATAATGCTAAGCCGTTTNATGGCAGTCAAACTCCTTACATCCTGTATAGATTAATATTCAGTAAGATTAGGTGGCACATTAAGATCCACAAAGAAACCAAAGCCACTTGTACCGTTTAAAGCGATTGGGTTCATCAAAACCATCAGTCAAAAATACATAACAATCCGGTTCGGATTATTATGTCAACAATGCTCTAAAATATGATCCCTCATCCCATATGTTGAATAGGCGTATCCATTTTTATTGTGAATTACCATAATTCTCCACTAAAGATGACATCGAGCAAACAGCAGTTGGTGAGCGCTGGTCGGCGACAAATTAGGGGCACAAACAGATCTTTCAACGACCAGATTTGTCCGTCCATAATGGACTATAAGAATTATTGGCTGGCAAACAGGAAGAAGCTACTTGTGGGATCCTCAAGTAGGAGGTACAGGGCGGATATATGTTTATGGAGTTGGGCTGGTTTTTCAGTTTTTCATTGTGAGTGTAAGTACATTAGTAGCAGATAGAAAAAAAATGGTTTAAAAGTAAATTAAATTTACTATTAAACAGTCTGTCACAAATAAATTAACATTTATCAATTAATTTTATTTCTTAGAATGTTGCACATGATATTTCATATGTCAAATCGGCATATTCTTCCAAAATTCTGGTAATATTCAAAACACAAAAAAGTGCTTCAAATTAAAGTTACAACAAATTAGTTGCTTTACATTTTAATTCAAATATACAGGGTTTCCTATTTCATCTGAGCTCCATCAACTCCATTTTTTACGGGTATATTTTGTATATTAATACCTACATTTTCTAATATCTCGTCGAGATTGGGTTTAAAAAGAGTTATTTGATAATTAGAAAAAACATTCTCGAAAATACCCAAAACCAAACATGATGGGGTTTTCTACATTCGTTCAAACACGAAAAAAACATTTTCTTATTTAATACATTTTAAATAGAAAAATATTAATTGTGGACCTTAGAATCCTATATGAAATTTTATACGGCCAGACGCAAAACTTAATTTTCTTTCGATTTTATGAAGATATTTAGATTTAGATAAATATCTAAAACTAATAAATATTAGTTTTATTTATTTAACATTAAAATATGGATTCCTTACAACAATGAAAATAATGTTCAAAACTAAAATTAACTGTGAGAATGAGGTTATATCATCGTTTAATGGTAAGGTTGCCAAAATACTAGAAAAATAGTTATAATAATTGACAAATAAATTTTGTATCAACAGTCTTTATGAAAACATTAGTCAGCGCATGACCCTAAGTAGAAAAATCTACAATAATAATTATTCAAAACTTTTATAAGCACATATACTTATTTTATCTGCTCCCACTATAGTAAATAGACCAATATTATGTATCTGATTGACTAATTAAAATAAAATGATTCGACGTACTACTAGAACCTGAAGTTGAAGTGTCATTGTAAAGAATCCTGCTATTTCATTTTTGTTACTTAAACTGTCAGCAACATAACTTTCTGCAATTGTGGCTGATTTCCATCCGCCATGTCTCTTGATTGCTAATACAGCAACTCCTGTATTAGCCAGTAATGTCGCCGATGTTCTTCGGAATGAACAATGGCCTGTATATGTTTCAGGATGTTTAAAAAACTGTGCAATCTTATTAGGAATTATAAAANTGTCAGAGCCACCATACTCTAGGTGAATATTTTTTGGAAAAAGAATCTGAGCAGGCAGAAAAAAGAGATCAGTCAGTGTCAAATAAATAAGTTTTTCGTTTGCATTTTACTTTTGAAAAAGATTCTAATACACCTAAAGAATAAAGATTTATTCAAGATCTTGCGACTTTAGTTGGAAAAAACCGAACCGTATGCTTAGGGTAAAACGGGTAGTTTTATCACGAAGCAATTGACAATGCGACTGTAAGAACTAATCAACTTGCCGAGAATTGAATATTAATACACTTCATCACCGTCATATTATTTCTATTCTGCTATTTGGTTACAAAATTTTAAATTGTTTCATTAATACACCAAATCTGCTCTCCCGTATACTTATTGATGTCCCTTCCAGAGATACCCGTCAATTTCTGTATATCCCAATATAGACATCATGTTCTCCTCTTGCAGTTATGTTCAAATTAATTAATCAAGTCTCATAATGTAACTCCACCGACTTGTTTGGCATTTACTATTTTTCAATGTACAAGGTGCTTGGAAACGAATGGGTCATACTCCGTGGATACTTCTGTATATTGAAAAAAAAACCGATTTAGCATTATTGTACTGTAAGGCAACTTGATCTAAACTTTATATTTTTGTCCAAAAAGCTACCCTTGAAGAACGGCTTATTCGTTTCCAGGCACCTTGCAGACTGCGCAATTAAAGTTGATTGTTTTTGGGACAATCAATTGCGTTTTTCTCGAATACGGCGCGGTTTCAGTGATTTTATTAAGGATACATGGAAAAAAGTTATGTCACAAAACGTCACCGGGAGAGATAACAGCTAGCGACCTCTAGCGGTCTAAAAACTAACAGCAGTAATGTAGTTGATACAACTTACCTACATCTATTTTCAATGTAGTATATCCTTTTTGATGAATAAAACTTCGATTACTTAAGGAATATTGACATAACTGCGTGCATAAAATTCTATAAAATGCAATGTTTATCGCTTTTTTGAACTTCTTTATGCTTAATTCTAAAAAATAATTAGCGCTGTAATAAATTTAAAATTCTATAAAATCATATCGACAATGTGACAACGGCGCGGCGGTTAACACGAGGTACTAAGGAGTCCAACAACCAACAATACGCAATTCAGTAGGCATCTGGAATTCGACACTCGAAGACTTGCGAGAATAAATTTTTGCCGCTGCCTATGAAATAAGGATAAATCCGGATATTTTCCAGCGAGTGCGTGAAAATTGGATTCGAAGGTGTCTGTCGTGCGTGCGTCGAAAATGGTGGTGGACATTTTAAGCATATGTTGTAGTTTGTTTTGTGCATTTAAAAATTATCGAATTTTGGTTTTTGGTAAGTACCTAAATTATTTTTAATACGTATGATTATTTGGACGACGTGAATCTTTGGGTACTTTAATTACATGTTTTTGAAATTCATAATTTGATTAAAAGTTCCTGTTTTAAGAGATTCATAATTACTAAAATTCGAGATAAAATTTAAGCACAACCCTATGTTCGTACTACAAAATCGATACATTTTATTTATTTAAAGACTGGAAAACAATTGTCTTGAAATTTACTAAATGTTTCACAGTAATAGTTGTTTACATTTTTGTTATTCCGTAGGACAAGTCTACCGCGTGCACACGTTGTGTATATCAGCTGTGTGACATCAGGTTAGGCGCTGTTGTCATGTTGTGATGAAACTCCCCAATATTAATACTCGCTGTATTTTGAAAAACGTTAATCTTACGCCCCTGTGATATACAACATTGTTTTGTTCATTTATGATTACTCTATCTCATGCTGAAATAATGGCAGTCAAACTTCTTACATCCTGTATGTATGGATTAATATTCAGTAAGATTAGGTGGCACATTAAGTTCCACAAAGAAACCAAAACCACTTGTACCGTTTAAAGCGATTGGGTTCATNCTTAGAATAATTAGAGCAGTCTTGTTTACCACTCGTGTATGTAAGAACTTCGGAATAAAGTGTTTTTTCAAAAATTCCTAAAAAATTATTATTTTTTAAAAAAGTTAAATAAAAACCCAAAATCGAAACTTGTTACTTACGCATATAAGATCGATGACACACATTTAGTTAAGGTTCATAATGTTAAAGATCTGGGCGTTACGATAGATAGTACAATATCATATAAGCTTCACTTTGACTTTATATCTGATGTCTATAAAGTTCTTGGTTTTGTTATGAGGGAATCGCGTAATCTGAGGAATATACGAACCCTTATTACTTTGTATTGTACACTTCTTAGGCCAAAACTTGAATATAGGTCCTTGTTATGGCACGCGCAGCCAAAAAATATACAGAGCGGGTTGAAAAAAATACAAAAGAAATTTTTGAAATATTTATATTTTAAGAAGTGTAATAGACTGCCTGACTATGCGACTGTAAGGACTAATCAACTTTGCCGAGAATTTAATATTAATACATTTCATCACCGTCGTATTATTTCTATTCTGCCATTTGGTTACAAAATTTTAAGTGGAAACGAATGGGCCATACTCCGTGGGTACTTTTGTATATGGAAAAAAACCGATTTAGAATTATTGTACTGTACTTGTAAGGCAACTTGATCTAAACTTTATATTTTTGTCCAAAAAGCTCCCTTGAAGAATGGCTTATTCGTTTCCAGACACCTTGTAGACTGCGGAATTAAAATTGATTGTTTTTGGGACAATTAATTGCGTTTT